GATCTGTCCGTCCAGAGACGCGGCGTTGACGGCCGCAGAGGCCCGCAGCAGCAGCCTCACGGGCTCCAGCCGGCCCTGCCAGGCGGCATAGTGCAGTGGGCGCATGCCTGCAGGAGGGAAGGGGCTTCTGAGGGGGGCCTGGTCCGTGTGGGGTCCGGGGAGGGAACCGAGCAGGGTCTGGAGCCACCCCAGCTGGAAGGGAGACAGACTGACACGAGCGATGCTGGCTGCACCTGGGCTTGGTCAGCAAGCGGTCCGGCCATACCTTGCCCACCATGGGTGACCTCCCAACAATGACCTAATCTCAACACCCTCCCCTGCATACTGGGACGTCAGTACCACCCGCTACCCCACATGTGATGGAGACTGAAGAGGTGAAGCATTTGCAAGCCCAGAGAAACGATGCCAACAGCTATTAGCATCGCTGCGCTGTAGCGGAAGCAAGCTCCGGTCGCAGGGTCGGGTGGCGGGCTCCCTGGGGGTCTCACCATTGCTGTCCTTGATGTCCACAGTGGCCTGAGCCTCCAGCAGCAAGGCAATGAGCTCCAGGCTGCCCCCCAAGGCGGCATGGTGCAGAGCAGAGAACCTAGCGTGGTGGGACACATGGTGGGGGTGTCAGTGAGTAGCCCCTACCCCCCAAGTCCTTGTCTTCCACACCAGACCCATCCTGGGGGCTAGCAGGGCTGGGTTACTTGCCCACTGTGGGACCCCCCCCTGCCGTGGGAGCGCAGAGCAGCCGGGCAGCGGCATGAAAGGGCTCAGTGTCTGGGCTGAGAGGACTGTTTGTCTGGCCTGCCCCCCCAGCCGGCCCAGGGGAGGGGGCCGTGGGAGCAGGAGCCTGAGGGCTCCTATCCTCTAGGGAGAAAAGGGGGCCCGGCAGGAATCTGACCCAAGGAGGCCCCTCAGAGAGGCACCAGGGCCCCTCCCCTCGCTCAGGGGCAGGACCCCTCCCTCCCATCCTATACAGGCAGGCCCAGAGCTTTCAGCAAACACACTTCAAGGGCCAAGTTTGAGAGGGGAAGGGGCTCTAGGCCCCAGGTCTTTCCCATCCGTCCCTCCCCCACGGCACAGCTCCCAGGAGGGGCGGCTCACTCACCCATCAGCGTCCTGGTAGTTGACATTGAGTCTCTTCGTGGAGCCGAGGAGCTCTGGGGGTCAGAGCAGGAGGCATCAGGACACCCTCGAATGATCGCCCTTAGCCACACCCCAACCCAGCGCTCCCTCTCACCACCTCCCAAGTCCAGCTGACCTCTCGGTGTGCAGGAAAGCACCTGCCCCATGGCCCCTTAGTGTCCTGCGCCTACGGCTCCCCACCAGGCCCATCAGCTCCAGGGCATGGAGTGCAGGGAGGGAGCTGCCGCGGCGGTGGCCTAGCTTTCCTGGGCCCCCAGCCCAGCTCGTTTATAGCACCAAGGGGGCGGGGAGGGGGGCACTGGCATGCCATGCCCTCAATAGACAGGCCCACGAGCACATGGTTAGCATTCCTGCCTGAACGGGCCAAGGAACGAGTCTCATTGTCCCGCTGGGATGAGGGGGCTGGGAAGGAAAAGAGAGGGGCTAGAGGCTGGAGAGTGGAAGGGCAGATGCCAGGGCCGCAGTGCCCAGCCCTACCACAACCCTGAGTGGAGCATGTGGAGCAGGTGGTGCCAGACAGACCTACACTAAGCTGGCTCTGCTGCGTACTTAGCTGTCTGATCTTGGACAAGTCACAGAATCTCTCAGCCTCCGTGTCCTCATCTATAGAATGGGCTGATCACAAAACCTGCCCACCAGGTAGAGTACCCTTGTCAGCATGCAAAAGATGGGAGCGAGTCCCACTTAGCACTCCCTGCACATGAGCCATTATCAGCAAGAGGCTGTCCTTCAGCAAAAGCTGGGCAGTCCCCATCCTGGCCCCAGGCAGGAGACTCTGCTGGGTGGTGGCTAGAGGAGCTAGAGGCATGGGCAGGATGCTGCTTCATCCCCCTCAGGGGCTGGACAGGATTCATGCAGGTGTGTTCCACCCGTGAGCCAGGGCGCAGGAGGGGGTGGTCCCTGCTAAGTGCCGGGGGCAGAGGGGAATGCCTGTCACAGGCGGCCCTGCCTTCTGCTGGAACACAGCCCTGCGGGGCAGGAGGAGGCTGGCTCACCCTGGGCAGGCGGGGTGCCAAGCATGCTGGTCCAGGCCTGCCCCCAGGCCCTGGAGGGCCCCTGAATACCCCAGCACGACAGGGCCCCCTTCCAACAGGGAGGGACCAACCCCGAAATGACGAGCGTGGGACGGGGAGGGAGGGGACAGCTACATTTAGGGCTGCGCTGAACTATGCTGCTGCCGCAAAGGCAAATAACTGAACCAAGGAGGGACTCAGAGGTGAGGAGGGAGGGGCCGGTGAGAACAAGCACAGGCCTCCGGTCTTCCTCCGGCCCCTTGGGAGTCCTTGTCACACAGAACCATCCAGGGCCTTGCAAAGAACAGGGCTCTGGAGGCAGGAAGTGCCTGGTTCAGCTTCTTACTGGCGCAGGTACCTCCCGGGCCTCAGTGAAGATGACACAGAAAGTCCCTCTACCTGCTGCGGCTGGACAGCGAGGGACGGGGCAGCCTGGCGGCGAGGTGCAGCCTCTCCCGGGAGTGACAAGACAATGTGACAGGAGAGACAGGAACAGGGGCCGGGCCGGGCCAGGCTGGGTGGCTCTGTTCTCTCCAGAACAATGGCCGGAAAGGCGGTGGGGGAGAGGCTCGCAGTGACTGGACTGGGGACCTTGGTGGGAGGGCGGAGGGTCCTGGGTCGGGCACGGCTCCAGGCACTTCCCCTTCAGCACAACCTTCTTTCCCGGCCTGGCTGAGGGGTGGCAGGGTCACTCCTGATTTAGGCCGGGGCAGAGGATGTGAGCTCAGCGGGCCACCCCCAGCCCGCTCCATTTCCTCTGGCCAGAGGAGACAGCGCGGGAGAGGGAGTGGGGGAAGGAGGGAGTGAGCGCGTCCAGAACAGTCCTAGGTAATTCTGACGCGCAGCCAAGTGTGGGAGCACAGGCAGAGGGCACGGCTCGCCTCTGATCGGCCACACAATGGCTGTGTGACCTTGGGCTCTCTGGGTGTCAGTTGCCTTATCTGTAAGTGGATGTAGAGGCAGGGAGTTAAGGGGATCACAATAGTTCATGAACTGTAGGGTCTGCAAAATGTCACCTTGTGATTGCCTTTTTTATTTTTTTACCAGCTTTCCCGTCTTCTCAGAGGCCTGGAAGGGAGGCACAGTGCCAGGGCCTCACGAGGTGTCCGTCCCAGGACCCTGTCACCCTGCCTGCGCCCACTCTGTGCTCAAGTCCCTTCGGGGGCTCGGGGAAGGGACTGCTTCCCCCACAGACATTGCCCCTGGGGCACAGGGAACCTTCCTGGAGCCCAGCTGTGAGGCTCCCACCGGCCGCCAGACCCCACCCACCTGTCCTCCTTTGGACCTCACTTCGAGGCCCCAGGCTATGAGGCCAATAGCAGCTCAAACAAGGCCCTACTGGGCAGGTTGCCAAAAACAACACAGAGGTGAGGGGAGAAGGGTGCGCGGCTCCCACTCTTGGGGCTACAGGGACCTCTTTAGCACCTTCTCCCCACTGTGCTCACCCTGCACCCACTTCCCCAGGGCACAGACACCCCCACAGCTTCATCTCCCTATACCTTGGGTCTCCTGCCCTGGCGGGAGCCTTAAGAACCCTCCTTCTGGCACCAACACTAGCGGGTGTGGGTGGGGATAACTAGATGTTTTCATTAGCCAAAGTGGATCTTGGGGCTAGAGGCCCAGCACTCTGGGGGGACCCTCTCGCCTCCAGCCCCAGTGTGGGGGCAGCAGCCACCTCCTGCTCCTGCTGGTACAGGGACTCCAGGGGACAAGTCTAGCGTCCTCCTGGGAAGGCCCAGAGAACTCACCCTGAAGTCTAATCTCCTTGGGGTCTCACAGCAGAGGTTCCCAGGAGATGGGGCGCAGCCGTGCACGAAGCCCCCACAACCCTGTCAAGACTAGTGGCCCCAGGCTATGGAGAAACCTCCAGCAGATTAGCTGAGCCACACGCCACCAGGGGACACAGGCAGATAAGCCAGGGGCTTTAGCAAGTGGTTAGGTAGTGTTGGACTTTGTTTTAGGCAGTAGAACTCCCTTTGTAAAGCTATTTTATGGATATGCCCATTAAACTAAGACATAAATGCAGAGATGATCTGGTTGAAGCGGTGTGGGTGGGGGTGGAGCTCTATCTGTTCAGTCTTTCCCAACCCATTATCGGAAACCCCGTGGCTCCAGAGAACAATCTGGAAAGCCACCTGCTGGAAGAAAACCCCAGGAGGGCAGGAATTCCGGTTTGTTTCATTCACGGCCGGACCCAGCGCTGGAGAACACAGCCTGGCTGGCACACAATAGGCACTCAAAAACCAGCTGAATGAGCCCTGGCTGGTTTGGCTCAGAGGTTCGGTTCCTGGTCAAGGGCACGTTCCCCACCAGGGGTGAGTGGGGAGGCAACCAATCGATGTGTCTCTCTCATGTAGATGTTTCTCTCTCCCCCTCTCCTCCCTCCCTTCCACTCTCTCTAGAAAGCAATGGAAAAAATATCCTCGGGTGAGGAATTAAAAAAATAATATTAATTTGAATGAATGCACTTCAATCTTTTACTTTACAGGTGAGGGAACTGGGCACCAGAGAGGTTAAGTTATTTGCCTGAGACACACAGCAAGGGGGACCCAACTTCCACTCTGGCTCTCACACACAGAGGCACTCCCTGTATAGAACAAGACAGTTCTCCTTTCCCCCCCGCTCCCCTCCTTTCTCTGCAACCTGAGCACTCAGAGGAGGGTCTCAGCTGGACAGTCGCCCCATCAAGTACTCACTGGTCTTCGCAGCCTTGACTTTAGCCACCAGTTTCTGCACACCAGTCACATCTCCGTTCTTGACGGCAAGGATCAGGTCCTGTTCACGACCCATCCTGGTCCCCAGGCTGGGCTCCGGGCTCAGGAAGTCCAGGGGAGAGGCCCGAAAACTGGTGTGAGCCAAGGCGTCAGGCTGCCATGCCTTGGCCCTCTGGAGGGCCAGGCGTCCTGGGGGAGCGTGGCTTGAGTCTCAGGCGGTGGGTTTCTTGTCAGGCACTGACAGGTATTCCAACAAGGTGCTCGGTGAGCTGCCGCCACAAGCTGGAAAGCCGATCTCCGAGGGGGCGGAGGCTGCTCGGAAATCTGGACAGATATCAGCTTGCAGCTTCCGACAGCCCAGGATGGGCTGGGACTGGGCGCGCCAATCTTCCCAGCGTGGCTCAGGAGCACCAGTGCCCACCCAGAAAGCCGCCAGCATTCCCTCGGGCCTCGGGCAGCAGTGGGGACAGGTCTCCGAGTCTGGAAGAGGGGCGGTGCTTTTGCTGAGGGCTAGGCCCGAACCTGCAAGGGTCCCAGAAGCAGGGCTCTGAGGGAGAGCAGTTCAGGGCCTCCAGGGAGCCCCCCAACCACGATGGCTGCCCTAGGGGCCAAGGGAGGGGCTAGCCACTCAAAGCGGGAAGGGAGCTGCCATGCATGAGAGGAGTATCTGGAGGGGGGAGAGGTGGCATTCTGCGAGGGGGGCTGAGTCACTATGGCCCCAGGGCACCTGGCAGCATCTCAACCTGGGCAGCAGCCTGTTCTCCACAGCCCCAGGGGCTGACACCCACGGACAGCTGCGTGCCAGGAGGTGGGGCCTGGGAGGGTCAGGCCCAGGCAGACAGGAGGGTCACTCCCTGCCGAAGGTGCCAGCCCCCGGACGCCTCCCTCCCTCCCCTTTACTAGAATCGCTGGAGGCCCTGGCTGCAGGGCTCTTTATGAATTCAGAGTAGAGTGGGGAGCTTATGGGCCCCCCATTTCTGGCGGGGGGCTGCTTCTCGGGCAGGGAGATTTCACAGCACCTGTTGCTGACCTGTCCTCACGCCTTGTGCGGGTTGGAGAAGCAGCTGGGCAAAGAACAGAGACCAGAGCTGGGGCACTGCTGGCAAACGGGGCTACCTGGCCCCCCAAGCCTGAACCTGAGGCCCAGAGCCCCAACTTCACTGCAGAAAAGCTTACGTCAGTTCCTCAGTGGCCACGAATTTGCTGCCCGAGTCCTGCGGCATGACACCGGCATGATACCCGGGCAGGCCTGGGGCTCTGGCTGGGAACCCCTCAGTCCCAAAACGTCCCAAGCCCCAACCAGATGGCACTCCCTCTGATGGCACTCCCTCTGATGGCCCGCGGCCGACATGGGGGGAGGGCGCCCCTGGCAGTGCCTGGGGTCGGGCAGGCTCCCCCGCCCCCCGGAATGCCCGCCCAGCGCCGCGCAAACCCCCAACCCCAACCCAGCCCAGGCCGACCTGGGGAACAAAGCGGCGGGAGGGACGGATTGGGACCAGCGCTGGAGCGATTGATGCGGGAGGACGAAATAAGGAGGCGCGAAGGAGGACGGAAGGAGCAAAGAGACGGAGGCACCCGCTGATCCCGCAGGAAAAGTTAGTTTGTGCCCGCCCTCCAGGGTACTGCCCCCCAGCTCGGGCCACGCAGTCTCACCTTTCCCGGCCGCCCCGCCGGGGGCCCGCCTGGCC